GAGAGAGAGAGAGAGAGAGAGAGCTTATTGACCACAATGCAAATAATAAATATCATCTCTTCTGAAGTACTACGTGCACACCAGCAGTGTTGACACCTGACATAGATGGCCGCACCAACTCGAGGAACAAGAAGAGTAAACTAACAATAATTTGTCGCATGAGGCGGCAACACCCTTCCTCACCTGTCAAGACACTCGTGTGTGTGTGTGTGTGTGTGTCCGGCAGCAGACACACCAAGGAGACGTCGTTTGAAACAACAGCAAACACCATCATTCTCCCCCGCCCCTCGTAGTCTGAAACAGTATTTTGCTTTTCTTCAATTGCTTTAGTAACCGCAAGTAATTTTTTCCAATGGCTTTGTGATTTATGTTTTTTAATGATGATATTAACAATAACAACACTTACCAAACCTTTATTGCAAACTTATATGACGATTTAAATTTTACTGAATAAATAACAATCAATCACTGAATCAATCAACTTTCGAATGGTGGCACAGAAAACAGAACCTCAGCTAACGTAAACTAACCTATTTTACCTCAAGTCACAAGACCTTCATTTCTGGATCACTGTAACCACACTGTCGGTTCCACAAGACATTATATACCTCTTGGGCCTCAAACATATCAGAGTAATTGTTTTTTTCTACCCGTTTCTCTCAGTTCTTGGCTGTAGATGATGAACAATTGACACTTCCTCAATTACGTTAGCGGGAAAAACATTTGGTGGACGTGGGAAAAACCGTCTGATAATTTCTAATCCATTTTTATTTCTTGATTAAACTACAACATCAACACCGCATTCGTTTCAGTCAATAAATAAAATAAATACATCAGCTAAGAGTCATAAGAACTTTACTGGTTATTTAAGATATAGTTACGGTACGTTTTATTATGACTAACTTCCTATGGTGTACAAAGTCACATCTTAAGTGTTGACAATTACGAGGAATCAAGACCACTGTTATTACTCCGGTACATTTACTAGAACTTACCCTGAGAACTTTAGAACTTTACACCGTCGAAAACTTAACATACTTGATAACTTTAGAACTTTACATCTTGGTGAATTTTACACCGTCGAAAACTTTACCTTCATTGAGAACTTTAAACTTTACACACTCGAGAACTTTCCCACCTCAAGCTATAGTACTTATATATCAAGTTTCTCTTTCTTCACAATAAACTGGGCTACACCCTAGTTCTGGAGGGCTTGTGTGTCTGTGTGTGTAATTACCTCCTGGGACGTGTAGAACCGTTCTCCCATCATCTGTGATAGTGGGGGGTTAGTTAAAGTGGGGGAGGGAGTGGGGGAAAATGGAGGGGGGCGTGGAGGAAGGAGATGGGATGGGTGGAGGAGGGGTGGAGGAGGAGGAGGAGGGTGTGGGAGGAGGAGGGGGTGTGGGGGGAGGAAGAGGAGGGGATGTGGGGAGGAGGCGCGTGGAAGGAGGGGAAGGAGGAGGGGACGTGGGGGGAAGAGGGACGGAAGTTTGTGCTTTGGTTTTGGAAGTGATGTGAACAAATACTGTACCAGGTTAGGACGAACGGGACCACGGACATGGGCCAAAGAACACGGACCACGAACACGCTAGCACCTGTGTATATTGCAGACACGTACAGTCACCTGCAGCCAGTTATACCTGGTTCACTGGCTGGCAGGTTTTGAGAGATGTGGCACCCCTGTGTTTGTTTACATCGTATTAATACTCCCAGAATGGCCCTAAAGAACCTCACAATAGTAGCCAGATAAGTATTCCTGTACAGTGATGCCACATCTCAACATCTCACAAAACTTGCCAAACGGTGTACCAGGTAGAAGTGCAGGCGACTGTACGTAGCCAGAAATACGGACATAGACACGGTAGCCAGGGACAGAGACTCACAGTAGCCAGAGCCACAGATAAACGAACACACAACAGCCAGACAGAATCACAGACAAACGAACACACAACAGCCAGAACCAGACATACAAAAAGTCGTCTAAGCCACAGACAAAAGAACACAATCGGACGCATGGAATACCTGCAGTGGTGGCGGGAAAAAACAGGTGATTCACGACATCGTTCAAAATGTTCGTCACAAACCACAAAATTCGTCAGTGTCTCGCTGCCGTTGTTTCTCGGGGAGTTCTCACAGGTGTGTTATGTTGACCAGGTGAGTGAACTAGTTACAGGTTTGTTTAGAGTTTCCGAGGAATTTTTCTCATCAGTTAGACCTCCCCCCACCTTGCGGAAGCGGCGATGTTGACACGATCACCTGATTGGATCAAGTTTGTTTATGTGTGTGTGTGTTTGGTGCGTTTTTCCGTTTGTTTCTTGTTTTATATCTCTCTCGCTTTCTTCCTTTCTTTGTTTCTTTCTCTCTCTTTCTTCTTTCTTTCTCTATCTCTCACCTGATCATTATCATCATCAGTTTTGGAGAAATTTACCGTATTTATAATTGAGACTGTACCCGTATATGTAGTTACGTTAATTACCTTACCACTATGGGATTATGAACATCTTAATGACCTTCATTACCACAAACAACAACATAATATTTACCATCTATACAAAAATTATCTTGAAACGATAATATGTAATAACCAACGACGACTAGCGGCTAGCGTTACTATGGCAACCATGACGCGGTCACTATGGTAACCAGGACGGCATCAACAGAGGGAAACAAAATTTAAATCTCAGTGATGCTTCAGACAGTGTGGGGGAGAGACGTGGGTGGGGGGAGGAAACATTGAGAGCTGTCTGTAGGAGGCGCTGAAGGAACCACCATGATAATTGACAGGATGGTGTAATGACTCAGTATAGTGAGACACAACTCACTACCACCATTATAGTGAGTTCTCTCTCACCATACAGTGTAGGGTGGCGATTAGTTGTGATTGGAACGAAGATGATTGGTTGTTGTTGTGATTGAAACGATGATTGGTTGTTGTTGTGATTGGAACGAAGATGATTGGTTGTTGTTGTGATTGAAACGATGATTGGTTGTTGTTGTGATTGGAACGAAGATGATTGGTTGTTGTTGTGATTGAAACGATGATTGGTTGTTGTTGTGATTGGAACGAAGATGATTGGTTGTTGTTACCAGAGAGGATGATTGGATGTGGAGGGAAATGCTTGGTTGGCCCTTTAAGACAGACAAGAGACAGACAGACAGACAGACAAAGTTTTAGACAGTTATATATGAAAAGAGAGAGAGAGAGAGAGAGAGAGAGAGAGAGAGAGAGAGAGAGAGAGAGAGAGAGAGAGAGAGAGAGACTTGTTACATGAGAACTGGTCAAGTGAGAACGTCATTAGTTATGATACAGTCTCAGGTCAGTTTGGCCGCCCTAATGGATGTGGTAAGCTAGACTGATGTATACGTGCTAACACCTAACCTAATCTAGTCCACGTCTCGCTTATCTTGGTCGCTGGGGGAGTGTTGGGTGGCAGGAACAGTCGCTGGGAAGTGTTCAGTCGTTGTAACACTAACTCAGCTGTACCGGCGGCAATATTTATGACGTGACGCAATTAAACACCATCCCACGGGTGTTAATCCGTTATATGCAGCTGCTGCACCAGTATATAACAGCATAACAACGAACACAGCCTCACCGACATCAAGGAAGAGACGTCACGAAGGTAAACAATGTCCCAGGGTTTGTGTGAGTGACGTCATGGGTCACATAATGTTTACATTACTTCTGGCGAGAACTGACTCACCACACGACCCTTGGTCACCCAGAAATATGAAACGACAGAGGTATCCATATTTATCATACATATTCATTAATACTTGTATGTATATCTTCCTTAATCACAAAATGACTCCATAATACCACTAATATGACCATCAATTACGGGTCAAAAGTTTCAATGAGTCAGTCGCCTACAATGACCGACTCACCTACACCTGCCCCGCCGAGTCAACCTACTGTACTCCTTACTCCTATACAGTTACATTAACACTACAGACACACACTAACCTAGACTTTAACCTACATATTAACTCGACTATATTAACCTCTAAATGCGTGTAATGGTTATGTCATGCGAGGCTGGGTGATAATATCCAACGCGAGAGAGCTACCAAGCGTTTTAAGTCGGAAAGGTCGAGCAATATTACGCGCGCAAATTAGACGGACTCTCACGTTACCACCTGAAGGGGAAAATTGACCTTACTTACGTCTGAGAAACCATCTTTTTGTCGTAGTTTAAGAGACAAAGATGGTTGCGTCCTCACATCGTTAATCATAGGAATATTATCAGTGAATGGCCCTTTGAGTATCCACCTATGTGTCGTAGTTTAAATGACCAAGATACGTGGTTGTTAATTTTATCGTTTATAATGAAAATATTGGGTCTTAACCTTTGAGAATCTTTGTTGAGAGGTTATTGTCTGGTGATAAGTTAAGTGGTGATATAGGTTGAAGCAATATATTTACCCCCAGTCATCACGTTAACACCCTGTCAACAGTCATTATGTTAACTGTGTCAATACTGTCAATACTAAACTGTCATGTCATCTATTCTCGTATATTTTACTTCATAATTACTGCCTTGATGATTAATGCTTCCATAAATTTACACAGATTCTTAAAAAAACACAAAGCTACACAAGCGTAAAGTCGGTATATGAAATGGCTACGTTAGGTACGCCGCGTGACGGTGTACAGTTTGTTGAGTCACCCACCAGTTAGCGCCACCCGGCCAAGACATCAGCTGATTATTGTTTACAGCTGACCCGTCCAGCATTACGTGACCAGCTTAGTAACGGAGGCGACCAAGCTTCATCATACATGTCCAACGGTCTATTACCCATCACACTATATTTTACTGCGATTTACAGGACACACACACTAAAAAAAAATCATCTTCGGAATACCTTAAGATTAAACAATTAAACACCCAAACTAGCCTAACACTATTGGGGGAGGTTAAATTAGATGGTTAGCGTTAAGTTTGGTAAAGTGTGTCTACCTTCTCACATCTTAAGTTAAAAGAAAATTTTTAACGTACAATCTTGTGAGAATCCATCCTTGGGTCGTCACATCTCCTGGCTCTTGTCTCCGTTGAGTGGGTGTAAGAGGTGATGGTCTCCGTGTCCCTGGACCAAGAAAATGAACATTTATCACACATCGAATTGGACTGTACAGCTATACCGGCATGGCAGTGTGTGTATTGGGGTAAACGAAGATTACAGGGATAGTAAGTTTACCAATAGTCCATTATACTAGTTTAAAAGATATATAGACATGTTCAGATGGGAACTTATTCAGTAAAATCATCACAGAAGTTTACAGCGTATCAGCATGTACACAAACAGTACAGATATAAAATACACATTAACAGTTCTAGGTATACAATGCAAGCGATATACAGTTAGGAAATATATTATACAGTACAAGGTTTTCATCAAAATAATACTGACTTGTAAACAGAGCAGAAAGTTTACACAAGAAGTATAAACACACACGTCCGCCCACACCAGCCTTCCTCCCAGCTCTGGTGTTTACAGCGGTTACAACTTGCTTATAACCTCACACAGGCTAAAAATTTTAACCTCCCCCCCCCACACACACACTAACGGCGGGAAATAAAAACATTTTTATTACAAATAACAAATAAATCACTGCCTTCGGGAAGATAATATGATAAATATTATAAGAACGGTGAGAGGAATAGAGAGGTGATCCTGGGTGGTGTGATATTTATAAAAATAATGTATAAGCAAAAAAATACGATATGAAGTATTATTCATTATAAAAAATATATTGATGTATTAATATTAAGATGATGAAGTTTGAGACTATAATTTGGCAAGTTAAATCTGAAATGTGTTGTTTTTGCTTCCACAGGTTCCGTTACCCCTAACACCGACGGTCAGGTGAGAGAAAACGGACATATTCTATCACCCGTCGAGGGAATACTAAAGAAAAACACCACAGACGCTGATGGTAGTTCCTCTATATTTAACATTATATCACAACTGTTTATGGGAGACACAGATAACGGTGCCAAAGATGATGTCAGAGAGAGTGCCAAGGAAGATGCTACGTCGACGAGATTAAAATCCAGACTTCTGGATATAGATGACGCTGATATTAGTGACTTATTACAAAACGAGAGACAAGTAAATAAAGATGATAAATATAGATCGGGAAGTAAAACAAGTGTTATAGCCGCGTCACTAGCCCAGCAGCAGCCATTGAGTCATCCAGATATAAACTGCACTGAGAGTCTCAGTGGCCGCACTCAGGACCATTATGTGGTCACGAATGGCCTGATCGAGTTCGTGACAGCTGGTGGTGACGGTATTGACACCCAGAATGATGTAACAGTGCTGGAAGCCGCAGCCTCACCCTCCTTGAAGTCACACAATGTCAGCTTTAACACGGGGACGTCAGCGACACTCTCAGACGTCGTGACATCAGCGAGGCGGGAAGTGACGTATAATGTAAACACAACAACATCAACGCCTGGCACTGTGGCGTCAGAACCTGTCACTCCTCCTGGGAAGACAGGGCCAGAACCTGTCACTCCTCCTGGGAAAACAGAGTCAGAACCTGTCACTCCTCCTGGGAAGACAGAGTCAGAACCTGTCATTCCTGCTGGGAAGACAGAGCCACAGGTCTCCTCCGGTAAGTCAACGAGGATGGTTGAGTCTGTCTCCAAAGTGTTCAAGGGCAGGACCCCGGGGCCGCTGCTGCCTAACACAGAGGAGCCTGGGTATTCCCGCTACGGCATCATCACCTGGGCCACCATCCACGACGTCGAACCCACCACCCCGATGACTCCCGTCTCCCAAGGCACCAGACAACCAGTAAACCGTCCTCACGGGGCCTTCCTGGAGCTGTCTGGCGACGATCTTGGTATATTTGACTCTCTGCTGAAGGTTGCGGAGTCGGTGGGCAGCCCTGTAGTTATTGATGACGTGGTGACAACCTTAACTACACAGAAGCCAGCTACCACCACTGCTACCACCACTACTACCACCACTACCACCACCACGCTGCCGCCTACCAACACTCTGGTGTCTATCCTCCACAATGACATCAACATAGTCAACAACTTACTGTCCACTGTGTTGTATAAATCCTCCACCAGAGGCCCCCACCTGACCGCCTCACCGTCACCAGTCATCACCACTACGACACTCCATCCTAAGACAACAACAAACATAGAGTCAACTGATAGTATAAACTGGTATGTTCCTGATGAAGGTCTTTATATTATATCGACGACCAGACGATCCTTCACTCGTCCACCAACCACCACGACAACAGAAGAAGCAATAATAACGAGAGAGAATTTGTTCACGACTTCTGCAGACTGGTTTGTTCCTGACGACGGTCTTTATGTTATATCAACGACTAGACGACCCTTCACGCGTCCCCCGACCAGACCAAGCACGACCACACAGATGACTCAACACCTAAACACCAGACGACCAACGACCTACCCACACACGGCCTCAACACCCGCTGGTGGCCAAGCAACTATAGTTAGTGACACTCCAGTCGCTGACGCTGCCGACAGGACGGTAATTCAGCACAGCGAGACCAGGAGACCCACTGCAGCAGCTGACACTACGACCCTCTCGCCCTGGGAAGATCCCAGTAACGCCCTCTATATCAGGACGACCACACGCAGGCCTCTCCCACGACCACTGTCGACACCTGCCACCACCACCAACCCTCCCGCCACACACAGCGACCATCTGAACAACTCCAACCAGACTCCTCTATATCCTGGCAGCAGGAGCCCAGCACCCGACAACACACACGGTGTATGGCAGGTTCAGGAGGACCCCACAGGCGGAGGTTCATCGTCATCGTCAATCCTAGGGTCATATGTCCGGCCGTCCTCTATAACAGCTTCCCCTGGGGTCGGGTCACCTGCTGCTCCTACAAGTGATAGTCCACCTCCAACGGTGACCAACGGTGTCGCCTTAACTCACGATGACCAACAACCGTTCTCGTCAACACACAACTCGCCTACAACACTTGATCCAACTGTCATCAACAGATCATCTACAACACTCCGGATACAACCGTTGACATCCACTGCTGACGGCATCACAACTCCTCACTCACTCTACAACCAGACCACAACGAGGAGACACACCCGGCCTTCCTCCCCGGCCGTCCCCGGCTGGAGACCTGTAGCGGGGGTCACCACACAGGGCCCGACCTTCACCACGGTCTGGGATCCTCTCTATTTTGTGGCTACAACTCGGCGACCATTTGTAAAGCCAAACACCGTCCACACCAGACGACCGCAGCCTCCGAGAACAACCAGTTCACCCTCAACGACAGCGAGGTTGACCTCTACCGACACACGACCATCATGGCCTCACGCGACCCCAGCCTCTACAGCAACATTCACCTCCTACACCACACCTTCCTCACCACCAAGTCACCATCACACACTAGCCTCAAGACCACCAGTCATCAAGGACGAGCTGAGGGTGAGCGCAGCACCTTCATACACGTCGCCACCTGAGGGCGGCGCCTACACCACTACACCACCACAGACGTCATTCACCTCCAGCTACACTACAGGAGCCCCGGGTCTTCAGGTCAACAACAACGTCAAAATCTCAGAGGCGGTGCCGACGGACGTCAACTCTCCTTATTTACCAACAAAAAACAGCAACACTGACGTCACTGCTTCTTATGAGGACTCGGTCATGCCAGCGCCTCATAGTTACCTCCCTCAAGCTCACAACTTATCAACTTTGAGTCTAAACGTTAGTGAAGACCTTCCTAACGGCGAGACGACTACTTCACAGGAGCAAGTTTTCAATAAACTGACCAACTACTGGTTTACTGACCTGTCACGCAGACCTCCAGCACACACCGCTCCGGAAACCAGCACCTGGACAGCAGACGCCTGGTATGATGACCTCCTGAAGGCGCCGGTGTCGTCCTCGCCTCACACCACCACCACTGACGTGTTCTCAGAGACGTGGTGGGAATTACTCACAAAGAACACGTCAACACCATCCTCACCGTCGTCCATTGTCTCACAAGGTTCTGTAGTCAAGCCTCAAGACTCTCTGACTCAGCTGACACGCTCCCCCCGCCCTCCCTCACCCTTCACCACCCCCCGCTCCCCCACGACGCTCCGAGAGGTTGACAACATAAAGACATACACGACAACCCCACCACACACAGTCATCATGCACTCAGGACTGTTCCCGAGCGTCCCCTGGTGGCGGCCAAGACCACATTACACCATGCAAGAAATTAACTTAACAACGCCAGACCAAACCCAGAACTGGTCTAGACCGGAGGAGGAGGACGAGAGCCTTCAGATTCACACCAGAGTGACCAACCCAAGTGGTAGTCCAACGAGTGTAACCTTACCGTGGACCTCTACCTACCCTCGCCCTCCCACACAGGGATCAGGGGCGCCCTCAGCTGCCGTCACAACACACACATCTCCCTCGGCCGAGGGAACCACTCCAGGACAAACAGAAGACAACACGTCGTCAGGCGCCGCGGCCTCCAACCTGCATCAGCTACAGTCTCTCCTCATCAGCACCGCCCACAATGCTCTTCCGCGTAACACTTCTGACGTCCAGATCTTAAACTATTTAATCAACATTATGAAGAAGTCAACGCCGACGGTAACCACCTCGAGGGTCAGGGCGCCAACCAGGCCAGGCATCTCTCAGTTAGCTGCCAGACCTCTCAAGGGCGTCACCTTCCCTCCACGACCCCTCCACGGTGTCGCCTTCCCTTCACGACCTCTCCACGGTGTCACCTTCCCTCCACGACCCCTCCACGGTGTCACCTTCCCTCCCCGACCCCTCCACGGTGTCATCTTCCCTCCACGACCCCTCCAGGTCATGGCACGACCTCGCATCACCACTACCGAGGCCCCTCCCATCACCGTCACCACTGTTACACAGACCGTCACTTGGCTGCCTGACAGACATATCTCCCAGGCGCCTCAAGCGGCACAGATCAACATCAGACCAAGTGTGTCAGTGACCTACTCGACCATAGGCGGGATACAGGTCGCCCCACCAGCCACACACCCGCCGCCATCACCCACCAGCCTCACCCTCGGGCGTCCACAACCAACTTTCCTAGACGGTCGTCCCTCCGCCACCTACCTCCATGGAGACTTGGCCTCCCCACAGGTGCTGACGCTCCTGGAGACGTGGAACTCTGACCCCGGCCACGTGGTGACGGTGAGGCCTGGCGCAGGACACCTCCACCAGCGACCTTCAGGTGTGTACAGACCTCTCGCCCTCCCGTCCTTCACCACCACCGTCAACAACATGGTTACGCCCACCGTCAACAACATGGCCACGCCCACACACTTCAACACAGTACCGGGGGTCCTTGGTGGTTCCGGCCAGCCCACACACAAGAGGCCACATGTGCTCACAGGAGTCGTCGAGGATCACACAAGTTATTCATTACGTATCAACACATCAGTGGGCTCAGGCGACACATATGGTGCTACTCCTCCCACCCTCGACCTGCACCAACACCCGACCGTCAACAGTGAGTCTCAGCTCCAACCTCACACCTCCACCACCCTCACCTCCTCCTTCAGCAATCAGGTACTGGGGGCGGCTCCTCGCCCTTCAGTCAGCGGGCCTCACTGGACACCCTGGAGGCCACCACCAGACGGCACTACTGAGGTGGCACCTGACGGGGCCATCAACAAGACGGCAGACTCCGGGCAGGATCACAGACAAGAGCCGAGTGTGACCACCAGCAACATGACGGCGGGGTGGATCAAACAACAGATCCACGAGTATCTGGCAGCCACCACCACCACACCCCCATCCACCAGTGCTTCCTATGGTATGTTACCTGAGTGGTTGGTCGATATAGTCAAACATACAACAACAACAGTCACCCCTACACCACCCACAACAACAACAGAAGATGGAATCAATATTAACATTCCTGTCAGCTTGGTGGACAACTTACTGTCACAGCTGAACACGCTCGACAGGTTGTCTTCCTCACGTCCAGCCGTCAACGAGATTCTTATGAGTCCAAAAAACCCGCTGTATAGCATCTTAAGGAAGGTCATCAGGGCCACCCATGGTGACCTGAGCCACGCCATGACTCTAGTCTCATCTCTCAGTGGCACTACACCGCCCGCCAGTGCCACACAGGTTGCCGCCACAACATCCTCATCGACTGAGATTCTGTCAGCCGGACCATCTGTGTCAGCGTTGTCTGAGTCACCACAGCTGGTCATCACGACACACGTCAGCCTCCCACCATTGACACACTTTGTGGACGCTCCTGACCGCCAAGTGTCAGACAACACGCCCATGACAACTCCTCCGTCATACTTCCCAAACTCGACCAGCTGGCCGCCCTCACACTACCTGCAGTCAGTCTCCAGCTGGGAGAGGAACACCACCACGACGCCCAGCCGCCCACACACAGAGTCCTTCCACAGACACGTGTTCTCTGCTCCTCATCACCACCACCAAGACTCACCGTCATATTCTGAAGATGAAAGACGAGAACAGGAGGAACAAGTTCAGCTGTCCCGGCTCATACAGGAGATACTGATGAACTACATGATTGGTCAACACTCTCACCCAGACACCAATCAACATGGAGATAAACACAAACATCACGGTGGTGGACAACACCCACACCACCACCCTCCGCCTCACCAAGCTGGGGGCGTGAACCAGACCAATACTCTTCACTTGAGCGAGATGGTGGAGTGGGCAGACACCCTGTCAGAGGCGCTCATGAACAACCCTAATGCCCTCGTCAGCGCCCCTGGTCCCAGTAAGCCCGAGGTGTTGGCTGGGATGGTGAAGGACGTGTTGGCTGTCATCCTCACCCGCAACAGGACGTCAGCGCCGCTATATCCTGACCCAACTGTCCTTCAGCAGGTGTTGTCCCAGTTGATAGGAGACAGTCAGCCTCAGTCTAGCACAGTTGCCAGCGTCTACAAGCCCTTTGATGCTGTTCTGGCTACACTGGTCGTGCCCGACAGACAGCCTTCCACTATACTAGATCTCCAGGAGAATTATATACACAGGGACGACACCAACGATGTTTATAACTCCGTGACTACCGTCTACCCTCCCCGCTGGTCCTCAGTGACTGGTCCTCACCACCACCAGACTGGACCCACTCACTACCCCAGTCAGAGACCGTCACCACTCTTCCCCAGCCGCTGGCCGACGTCCTGGGGTAACTTCAGTGTCGCCGCTGTCTCCCGTACTCCCGGTGCCGTCTTCTTGTCGCACGACGCTGCTGAGGTGATGGCCGCCTCACAGTCCCAGGTGGACGCCTTCCGCCCCACCAGCCACTACTACCCGCCGGCACCTGTCCTCTCTACCGCTACTTACGTCATCCCAGAGACGGCAACAACACCTGTGGCTCGTGAAGGCTCCGTCATTGGCCGCCCCTCAAGTGTGTCGTTCATCCATCAGTCACAACACCAGCAGAAGGTTAAGTTTCCTTCAGGGCTCAGTGGCGCCCACCATCAGGTCACACCTTCACACCACTATCCTCCAGCAGCTGCAGGAGACCCTGAATCTCAGCTGGCAGCGTCTCACACACCTGCCCTGCCAGCCAGCGGTCAACAGGTGAGTGGCAACATAAACACAATCCCCGCACTGACTCCTCCACACAGTGAGAACAAGTCCCCGTACTTGCCTCAAGAGCTGCCTCGGGTTGACGCCCCACAATTATCTTATTCACACGATGTGTTTGGGTCTGAGACTCACACCAAGTACCCGCAGAGACACGACACAAGTCTTGGAGCTACACAGGTTGACCCCACGGCCGTGTTTACTACTCGGGAGCGACACACAGTGGTGGGTGGGTCAGTCACCGTCAGGGCGTCGACCACCCGCCCTGGTGCTGTGTCCAGGACGGCTGACCTCACCACTGACCGGCGGCAGACCTCACCCCTGACACACTCCCAGGCTGATGACGAGAATGGGGCGGAGTTAACGACTGAAGGTGTGTTGTGGGGAGGCACGACCCCTCTGGACGACCTGGTCACCCCAACACTGCCGCACCACACCGCCACCCCAATCAGGGAGAGCATCAGTAACTTATCCTCTCAGGTGTTGCTGTTGCAGAAGTTGGTCTTGATGATGATGAACATTACTAGCCACAACGACGCCCTCGGCCTCACCACTACACCTGAGGCGACAACCTTCTCTCCTTCAGTCTTGGCGGCGACCATCTCCAGAATAACGTCTCAATTGAACCAAAGTCCATCAGGTGAGGGACCAACACTACAGCCCCACGCCGTCACCACTCCTCCACCGCTCACCACCTTCAGCTCACTGAGGCCAGACAGTAACACAGACATATACAATCCCTTCCTGGTGACGTCTGGAGAGCACAACAGACCTCCGCTACAGGCAGTGTATGTTGACCACAACGACCCCGCCAAGACCTCTGGCTCGGGCGGCGGGAACATCGTGTCGTCCATCATGGATCAGATGACCAAAGTGACGGAGAGTCTGGGGATGAAGGAGCAGGTGCCGTCAGTCATAGAGTCTGGCTCACTAACACACGAGGCTCTCAGGCTCCTCACTGAGGCCGTTGATGTACTCAGGCATAAATACGGTCCTCCAGGAGGCCAGGAAGACGACTCTTTCCAGGACGTGGAGGAACTGCAGGGAATCCTGACAACACTTGTGAAGGACTCCACCAACTTTACTGTGACGTCACCAGCACCACCCCGGCCCACAGGACCAGCTGTTGAGGGAAACTGTAGCGATGACGACAGTGTTGAGCATATTGTTAAGCCAGAGTTTGTCACCCAAGACTTTTCCTCCAACACCATACCCTCCTCCATCACCACGCCCTCCTCCAACACCACGCCCTCCTCCAACACCATACCCTCCTCCATCACCACGCCCTCCTCCAACACCACGCCCTCCTCCATCACCACGCCCTCCTCACCTGCAGGTGAAGCTTCAGAGCCCGAGCCACCCTCCCCTCCTCCACCCCTAGGGATAATTCCTCTACAGCCCACCACACAGCCGCCACACCTGCCCACCTGGACACAGCCGCCACACCTGCCCACCTGGACACAGCCGCCACACCTGCCCACCTGGACACAGCCGCCACACCTACCCGCCACACAGCCTCACTTAACACCAGTACCAATGCTGCCTTTACCGACCTCAGCAGTTTCAGGACAGTCACCCAACTTGCCAGCCTTCATGAGTCGCCCACCTTCTGCGAGACCCGCCACCACCACCACCCTCGCCCCCCGCAGCAGGCCGGGGCCCCTCAACATCTACAACGTCCTGCGGCCACATCCTAAACCTGGCGGAGTTAACAGCATCACCGCCGGCACACTGACTCCCTCTAACCTACCGGCGTTAGTTGTTGGTGTTGAGTCTCTAGGGGCGCCGCCTTTGAGGGGTACTCGGCCGGGGTACTCCTCTGTGTCTGGTGTATCCGGGGGTCAGGTTCCTGCCACCTACTCCCCAGCTGCCGTGCCCCAGGAAGGCCGCCCCTATCCTGACCATCAAGTGACGTCATACCCACAATACCCAGGTTCTCTCAGCCCAGAGTCCGGGTACACTACTGATCTCTTGAGGCTCGGGTATCCTGCTGGTGTTGTCCCTTCAGGAGGGTTCGCCACACCAGGAACGCGTCCTCCTCAACAGCCAGTGACGTCAGGAGGAGGAGGAGGAACTGTCACACCTCACAACACTCGTCTGACGGCCACGACCCAGCTGGAGACAGGAGGTCAGTCTCTCTTCTCTCATTCTCTTATCTTATCTTCGTCTCTCCTTTATCTATCTTTTCTTTTGTAACGTCGTATTTTCTCCCATTTCTCTCTCCTCTCTTACTACCGAAGACAGTTGCAATAGGTCGGTCGGTCGGTCGGTCTCTCTCTCAATCTTCTCATCTTTTTTATGCCTTATTTATCTGTTTTATCTTATTTCTCCTCAACATCTTATTTTATTTTACACCTTAGAATATTTTTATATCTTTTGAGTTTTATTGACAACTTAATGTTTTTGTCGGTGATAAAGAGAAAGAGTGTTGTCGTCGCCATGTTGTACCATGTGTGTGTACCGTCATGTGTACCCCCCATAGTGTACCGTCATGTGTACCGCCATAGTGTACCGTCATGTACCGCCATAGTGTACCGTCATGTACCGCCATAGTGTACCGTCATGTACCCCCATACTGTACCGTCATGTGTACCGCCATAGTGTACCCTCATGTACCCCCATACTGTACCGGCATGTACCTCCACAGTGTACCGGTGTGGGAGTGTGGGAGGCGCCAGGGTCAGTAACTTCCTCAATCCTTCATACCCTCTGCCTGACCGCGGAAGAGGATCGTGTTCCTTTCGTCTGGTGGTGACCGACCCTACAGTCTGCCAGGTGTGTAAACGACCTTCCATACATCTGACAGGTGTGTAAACGACCTTTTATATATCTGCCAAGCGATAAACAACCATTGAATATGAATGACCTAAAATATCGTTGTGTAAAATTCGTTTTCTTGCAGTCCCCCTCGTAACGTCATAAAAAACGGTAATAATTTCACGGGTAACTGTAGCAATATGATGATTTAACCCCAATGGCCTCTGGGGCTGATATGTAACCTCTAGTTGGCTCTTAACGTCTTCTTGACCTCTGAATGACCTCCTCTAACCCCATCTGGCCAGTCTTTGACCCCTGAGGCTGATATTTAACCTCTAGTTGGCTCATAACCTCTCCTTGACCTCTAGCTGACCTCCCTTAACCCCTTCTGGCCAGTGTTTGACCTCTGGGGCTAATATTTAACCCCTGAATGTCTCCTAACATCTTTGACTTATCCTAACCCCATCTGATCCGTTTTTTATCTCTGGCTGACCTTTGACCCCTGTTTTTCACCTCTGGCTGACCTTTAACCCCTACCTTTGACCTCCGGCTGACCTCTAACCCCTGCTTTTGACCTCTGGCTGACCCAATACAGGTACGGGTGGATTTCGTAGACACAGCGCTGTTACTCCCAGCACAAGGAGAGTGTCGTGACCAGCGGCTGACTGTGACGGGCACCATCCACACTCCTTCTGTTGACGTCTACTGCGGGAGGAACACCGACCAGCACTGTGAGTCTAGGAGGGAGAGAGAGAGAGAGAGAGAGAGAGAGAGAGAGAGAGAGAGAGAATTTTCTTAGACATATTAACATTTATTATTGCCTGTAACTGTATTTTCCCTTTATTAATGTTTTCCTGTATAATCTACCATCACTGTAACCATGTTTCTCTCACTGTAACCCTGTATCTCTCATTGTATCTCCTCTACAGTCTACGTAGAGATGGTGACGCCGGAAGTGGGTGGGCGGTGGGTGGATTTCGTGGTCACTACTCACACCGCCACCCACAGTTACCGCTTTGGTCTGTGGATCAGTCAGGTGTCGTGTGGGGCGCCCGACCCATTGAGAGGTGAGAGAGAGAGAGAGAGAGAGAGAGAGAGAGAGAGAGAGAGAGAGAGAGAGAGAGGTAGGTTAGGTTACTTTATATTAGATTATTTCAGGTTAAGTTAGATTAGATTACTTCAGGTTAAGTTAGATTAGATTACTTCAGGTTATATTAGGTTCGGTCTCCACATGGGTTTCATAACCACGTGTTTCAGCTCCCCGCGGTTGCCTACAGTACTACCTGGGGTCATCAGGGGTCATCAAGAGTTACAACTACGAAGGTCATCAGTACCTCAATGACCACCACTACCGCATCTGCGTGAGAGCCTCGCCCAGGGCCTGCGGGGTCACCTTCTCTGCTAAGGAGGGAGAGTTTGGCCTGCAGAAGCTCAACTCTCGGGTCGTCCCCTTCGACAGGTAGGTCTTAGGTCTGTCTTCCCTTCGTCAGGTAGGTCTTAGGTCTGTCTTCCCTTCGTCAGGTAGATCTTGGATCCTCTTCCCTTAGTCAGGTAGGTCTTAGGTCTGTCTTCCCTTCGTCAGGTAAGTCTTGGGTCCTCTTCCCTTCGTCAGGTAGGTCTTGGATCCTCCTACCCTCGTCAGGTAGGTCTTAGGTCTGTCTTCCCTTCGTCAGGTAAGTCTTGGGTCCTCTTCCCTTCGTCAGGTAGGTCTTGGGTCTGTTATCACCCCCAAGTTATCATGCAGAATGAACATAAGGAAATATTTCTTCACGCAGAGGCTGGAAGACCTATAGAACAGTTGGCCCCCTTCCCTTTGGCACGGCCCCATTCCCTTGGCATGGCCCCCTTCCCTTGGCATGGCCACCTCTATTTGAGGGCCATTAGGTAAATAAGGTAAAATCGTGCCAACAATGTATCAACACTGTACCTTTAAATACGGGTTGTATAAAAAAAGGTCAGGGTGATGTATTAGTGTAGGGGAGGTAGGTGGTGAGCAGTCTCTCTCTCTCTCTCACTATTCACTTTCTTTTTCTATCTCTATCTCAGTCTCTCTCACATAGCGAGTCATATATCCGGATTAACACCGTATGAAGGCTTCTATATAGTCTCTCTCAGTCTCTCATCCTTCCCCCTATCTTTCTTTCTCTCCCTCCCCCTATCTCTCTACCTACCCCCCCTCTCTCTAACGCCAGGTCATATATCCGGGTTGACTAGTATTTCGTGGGTTGTGTGTTATTACAGCAGCTGTCAGGCAACTGAGGCCATATTTCAAGGTTATGTTGCCTTTTTATACCCGGATTCCACACTCAATATTCTCTTATCTGTCAGTCTGTTTATGTATGTATGTTGACTATTGATGAATTAGACTGAAATATATAGAGAATTATCGATATATTTCACCTTAACTCTGCGTAGTGAAGTAGTTCAGTAATACCTGGTCTTCACCCAATCAAGAATTTAATTAACCTGTCCGGGCTATATTATAACTTGTACAGACAGGTATATTTATTCAGTTTTACCTGGTGTAGTGATGATGGTGGTGGTAGTGGTGAAGGGGTGGTGTTGGTGGTGAAGGGGTGGTGTTGGTGGTGAAGGGGTGGTGTTGTGTTGCTGTTCTATAGAGTTAATTAAAAATGTTAAAATGTGTAAAATAACACGCGAGGTTATGTGTATGTTTGTGTGTGTGTGGTTGTGAGAGAATATGGTAACGATTAATGAACACACGCACGCACACACACTAACGTACGCAAATGAGACATAAATGAGGTGCAAATAAGATTACTGGCAACCCCACCAGTGCCACGGTGCCACTGTGAACTCTTTCTTTCTCTCTCTATTTTTATACACTTCTCTCACTCTCTCGGTTTATATGGTGTAATCGACAATAAATAGATAAGATGTATTGCAATCTCATTCCCTTTCTCCTCCTCCCACCTACCGCTGACAGCCAGGAAATTAAACCAAACTGATGTATTGTTCCTCAAAGGGTTAAACCATAATAATCAAAAGTTAAACCTAACCTAACCTAATCTCCCTTTTCTCCCTAATTAATCACCCTTTATTAGCAACATTATAACTAATTAATCTTTGTTTTTCTTTCTGTCTGGCGGATACGTTCGGCAGAGCTGGCGTAGGGGCGCGAGCGTGTGTGAGAGATTACCTATATCTGCCCAGCCTGGCGAACGAGGTGGTGGCGAGCGGGGGTTTGTCTTCGCCAGGAGGGGGAGTGAGAGTCTGTGGAGGGAAATTCTCACACATACACAGCGATACCTCCTCCAGACCTCTCACAGGTAAGGTAAAGGTGATTAGTGGCGATCTGAGGTGATTTAGGGGTGACTGAAGGTAATTAGTTAATATCCGAGTTAATTTAAGGTAATATTAAATGATTTGAAGAGGTTGTAAGTAATTTTAGATGCTTTTTTTAACTAATTCTAAGTAATCTAATTTAAGGTAATTTTAGGTCATCATAAATTTACACCAATCCCAAAATACGGACGTGTGACGTCATTATGGGATTGACCAATGAGAGGCGTCGGTCGAGCTTCCCGCTACATCAAAGATGGGATCGGGAGATTAAACGCCCCAAAGTGTCAGTGGATGATGAGCTCTCGTAGGGGATGGAGCTCACGGTGGACGGAGAGAGAGAGAGAGAGAGAGAGAGAGAGAGAGAGAGAGAGAGACTCAATATATTACGAGGAGGAGGATGTGTTTGTTGGTGTTCGTCTTTGTTGTTGTTATTATTGTTTGTCATTATTGTTATTTTTAATTGTTGTTGTAATTGTTCTTATCATTGTTGTTGTTGTTGGTATTATTGTTGTTGTTGTTGTTAATGTTATTGTAATTGTTTTTGTTGAATAATCTTACATTACAGATGTACTAATGTACCCTGGAGTCATGTACACACACCCTCTATGTGCTACAGATGTACTCAGTAAGGTACAAGACTGAACTAATGTAGTATAATCAATTACAAATGTACTGTCATACTAAATATGTACTACCATGCTTCACAGATGTGCTATTGTGTACTACAGGTTTACTCTCATGTACTACAGGTGTACTATCTCCACAGGGTACATGACAGGTGCAGTGTACGTGATATACTTCAAGACAGGTGAGCCGGAGGTGTACAACAGCGGTACACATGGACCGGGGTACAAGCTCTCCTACCACCAACGGTACAGCTGTCCCCACACCACCTCCAAGCACGGTACATCTGTCTACAGTGACGGTACGTGATGGTATAGTGACTTAACACGCTTTTGTTATGTTAAATAAGGGTGCAGTTACCCCGAACCTAACCCAACCTCACCTAACCTAACCAAACAAGCTCTATTAGGGAACAAATTAACCCTTACCTGCTAACCCCTTCAGTAAACACCTGGCCAAGACTCGGGATTCCTATTAGTGTTTTGATCGACAGGTTTCTATGCCAATTTTATTCGTTATATTTAATTTTAAGTGTGTGTGTGTGTGTGTGTGTGTGTGTAGGTGCCACAACACACCCCAATAACACGGTCTGTCCCCCTACAGAGTCACACCCCACGTCCCCACATTACCGGGAACACCTCCTCGACGTCACCTCCTCTGTTTTCCTCCCCTATGGCCTCCCACCTCCTCCTGTCTCTAACTCCCTCCTGCCAGGGCCGCTACTGGAGGAGAACTACCAGACGAAGGAGGACCACACCTTCAGGGACTCCGGCAAACCTTTCCTCCTGTACAGAAGAGCAGGAATCAGCCCTCTGGAGAAGAACAGCCCCCAGGACACCTCTGGGGGCTCAGGTGGGACTGATGGCCCTCTCAATACCTCCCAGGTGATGAGTCTTGTCGGTGATGTTTTGTCGGAGTCACTGCAACAGACGCTGCCGGGGTTCGGGCACTCGCTAGGGACGCTACTGCAAGCTACAAGACCATCCCAGTTGAACGAGGGGCACCAGGTGAACGAGGGGCATCAAGTGAACGAGGAGCATCAAGTGAACGAGGGGCACCAGGTGAACGAGGGCATCAGTGAACGGGCCAGGTGAACGAGGGAGAACGGGCATCAAGTGAACGAGGGGCACCAGGTGAACGAGGGGCATCAAGTGAACGAGGGGCATCAAGTGAACGAGGGGCACCAGGTGAACGAGGGGCACCAGGTGGACGAGGGGCACCAGACCAGTAGCACCTCTCACCTATCTTATATGACCAACGGTGCACAGGTGAGGAAGGTGGGCGAGACAACCTATGGAGACAGTTTCATCATCTCTATGTTGCCTCAGACGACCCGCAGCGATGCTTATTATGTTGGCGAGAGAGACGTGGCACAATGGACGGGTGGAGCGAGCGTGGGAGGCGGTGGTAGTAGTGGTGGTGCGGGTGTAGGAGGTAGTGGTGGAGAAGAAGGCTTAAGAGACAGCATCAGTCCCCTTCTCCAACACACCACCGCCAACAACAACACTACAAGCTGGTATTATCAATTCTCTCCACAACACAACACACAGACATACACCTCATCCCAATTACGAAATACCAATTATAAATCTCCCTCTACAAATTGGGTATCGGACGCTAATAGGGAGAATGAAATAGGAAAACAGAATAATCAAGGAACAGAATATATCAATAGACCTGAAGATATAAACGTGAGTAAACTGGACATCTACAACAAGTACAACTCCTACAACAACCCCTATAACTACCACAACCTCAGCAACCACAACCTTGGAATATTAAAAGCAAGGTTCTCAGATTTGACGCCAGAGGGAGGAACTCAGGTGAGGACTCTCTTACCTGTTGAGATGTCTCCCACGATAACGAGAGAGACTTCCTCCATGATCTCACCATCTCTCACCTCACCACCTTCCCTGAGAGATAATGGTGATGTTGTCTCGTCTTTGTATGGTGACGTGACCTCTCTTGACCTCCTTCCATCTCTACCTCTTTATTCAAGATTCGTTTCCTCTTTATTAGCTCAGTCTTCATCTTCCTTGGTTGCTGGTTCTCCATCTTCTCTTTTATCTCTTAATTCCTCTCCTTCAACTTTAAATTCTTCTCTTTCTTCCAGTTCACCTTTATCCCCTTCTCTCTCTTCTCTTCCCAATTCTTCCTCCTCTCTCAATTCTTCCCCCTCTCCTACTTCTCCCTCCTCTTCTCTCAGTTCCTCCTCGTCCCTTCAGCAGGGCCGTGTAGGAAGTGTGTTATGGAGGCGCCCCTCAGTGTACCACCTCCCTGACGCCAAGACCTCCGATACTTTCATTATCTCACCCTTATCTAAGGCCCTCGACCTGGCGACGACCGATGAACCTCTACTGACTCCTGCTGGCGACTTATCCTTGGTAGGTGTTGACGGTGATGGCTCTAACACCTCCTCTTCCCACCCTGCAGAAGGCGATGAAGAAGGGTTAAAAAGGAACGGTATACTGGATGATGATAATGGTGGTGGTGAAGGGGAAATTGATAAAGAGGGAATAAGAAATAATACGATAACTAGAGGCACTAAAGAAGGGAGAGAAGGAGAGAATGATGATGGGAGAACAGGCAAGGAGAGAATTAGGAGAGATATATTAAATGGAGAGATGAGAGAAGGTAAGGTAAGGGATTTGGTCACGTGGTATCCCGACATCAGCCCTGGAGATGTCAACAAAGAACAGCTGATCTGGAAGCCATTAGATGTAAACAAACAACAGCTGATTGGCAGGAGACCGTCAGATGTCAACAAAGAACAGCTGATTGGGAGGGGACCATCAGATGTCAATAAACAACAGCTGATCTGGAAGCCATTAGATATAAACAAACAACAGCTGATTGGCAGGAGACCGTTAGATTTCAACAAAGAACAGCTGATTTGGAAGCCATTAGATGTAAACAAACAACAGCTGATTGGCAGGAGACCGTCAGATGTCAACAAAGAACAGCTGATTGAGAGGGGACCGTCAGATGTCAATAAACAACAGCTGATCTGGAAGCCATTAGATATAAACAAAGAACAGCTGATTAAGAGACCCATAGATTTTAAGACGGAACAGCTGATCGTCAGTAAGCCAGTGTACTTCTACAAAGAACAGCTGACCGAGAGACCCACAAAAACCAAAACCGAACAGCTGATCTGGAAGCCACTAAATGTAGACAGAGAACCGCTGATTGACAGAAGACCAGAGGATGTCAACAATGAACAGCTGATCGGAAGCAAGCCAATACATGTCATCAAAGAACAGCTGGTAGTGAGGCCGCCGCCGTCAACTACCATCACTAGTAAGCCATATTACGTGTTGCCCTTCATGACTTACGATAAATTTGAGGCGTTGACTGATAAACTGCAGCGTTATAAGATAAGGATCAGCGCTGGTGGTGTCCCTTACATCAGCTCTGAAGACAACAGCATCAAGGTAGGACACACTGGGGGCTATCCTACAGCAGGGGATCCTAACACTGTCGTTACCTGGTACCCTTACCTGGACAAGCACCAACAGGTGACAGAGAATGATCTCAGTACCAGACTAATTACCTGGTCGGCTGTGGACGGCAGGTGAGGTGAGCTTTAAGTTAAAATCTCGCCAGCACAAGCAATCATCATCGCCCGACACAAATTAACGCCAGACTAAAGTTCGCTCAATTTCTACCTGTGGTAATGTTGTTTAGTGATACAAGGCACAGGTCTTGTGAGCAATGTGGAAATCAGGAATATCAGGAAATGCAGGAAAATCTTACTTATTTCTTCGTTGACAGATGTTCCGGTTGATGACTCTGTGAGTATATCAACCTAACCTAACCATATAGTGTGTTAATAACGTTATCTTCTATGTGATGATAATACTTCCAACTTATTTTTAACATTAAGCTGAAGATAAAATCAATATTGCCTTTTTTTATCAGTCAAAGATTCTGTTCTATTTATATCTATATTTTCTCTTCGTGACCTGGATATATTTATCGACTTTTTGTTATTGTTATTTACAAATATATAAATGATTGGAGTCATCGAGGATAATGATATAAGCGTTTTAATTACCTTTATAAAGCTCAAGAGATTTATAGTAATTTAAGTATAGCAAAACAAAGACTTATTAATGTCTCACTGGTAACATGAAGCCTTATAGAACCATTTGAAAGGACATGTTTATATAATACTTCTTTCTAAGTTATTACTGAGAGCTGTAGATGATGGAAGCATTATTAAAATACTAAGGAAAGTCTTATTACCTTTCCTCTAGTGAATTGAAGACCCAGAGTTAATTAGTCTCAGGTAAAAATGAATCTTAAGTAATTCTTTAATAGGACTTTACAGTCCAATCCTCTTGTTATTCAGTCCACGTTCTTTTGAGTGACACTCGTCACCTGTTACTTATACTTAATTTATTTGTGTTGTTCCTGTCGCCACCAATGTGGTATATCTATGTGAGTACCTATTTATGTTTCTTATGTGTCCATCAGTATTTGCTTAGTTAGATATAAGTAATTCAGTGTTATTTCACGTTAGTTAATTTCAATGTTAGTTTTTATATGTTTATGCAGTGTTAACGTAATCCAATGCTTTATTTTTATTCTTTTGATGTTTCGATGTTTTAGTATCATTTGTGTCTTAAAGGTTTCGATAGTGAATCAATTTGTTGTGACAGCCTACGAGGCTCTTTATTGTGTAAATATTTAATTAAATTCTTAAAGGTTTACTTCATTCATTTTTATTCCCTTTTGATTTACTTCACTTTTCTTTTTGTTTGGTTACGCCTAGAACCTGGATATTAAAGTAAATTAAGAGACGGCGTAACAACATGTGGTACTAGTGTTGTAGTGAACATGTAGTACTAGTGTTGTAGTGAACATGTGGTACTAGTGTTGTAGTGAACATGTAGTACTAGTGCTGCAGTGAACATGTAGTACTAGTGTTGTAGTGAACATGTAGTACTAGTGTTAGTGAACATGTAGTACTAGTGTTGTAGTGAACATGTAGTACTAGTGTTGTAGTGAACATGTAGTACTAGTGTTGTAGTGAACATATACTACTAGTGTTGTAGTGAACATGTAGTACTAGTGTTGTAGTGAACATGTAGTACTAGTGTTGTAGTGAACATGTAGTACTACTTTGTCGTGAACATGTAGTACTAGTGTTGTAGTGAACATGTAGTACTAGTGTTGTAGTGAACATATACTACTATATACTACTAGTGTTGTAGTGAACATGTAGTACTAGTGTTGTAGTGAACATGTGGTACTAGTGTTGTAGTGAACATGTAGTACTAGTGCTGCAGTGAACATGTAGTACTAGTGTTGTAGTGAACATGTAGTACTACTCTTGTCGTGAACATGTAGTACTAGTGCCCTGAAGTTCTCACACCACTGTAAGAAGGCAAATCAAGCAAACAAGCTAGTAGGCCTAATAGGAAGGGCATTCACATACCTATATGATCTGACTCATCTCTTCAAAAGTGAGGTGCTTCCCAATTTGTAGTAGTCATTTCATCTAGTCCCTGAGCAATACAAGACTGTAAGTTAATGAGAATGTCCAAAAGTGGGCCAACAGACTTGGGTACCTATACCTCATGTACCCAGGGATATAAGAACACCTGCAGTTGCCTATCTTCTATTATAGATGGGCAAGGCAAGACTTAATAGAACTCTGTAAGCACCTCAGACCACATAACTAGAGTGTTCATACCTGGGAATGGTGGAGACCCACCCCACTAGGGCTCACAGCCTCAGGTTGAAGAAACACGTTCAGAAAATTGCCAGGGCATACTGTTTTGGTGTGTTGTAAACTCTGGAATAACCTGCCAGTGTTATGATGGCACCAAGACTTGACTATCACTGGGACAGGTTTGGGTACACTCTGGGGTCAATGCATGCCCAATATTTGCCCAATGTGTAAACAGACATGACGGACCACCCAAGCACGTAACAGGCTGATCAGTGGTGAATAAAGTAGAGATCTCTAAAAAATAAAAATCATAGGAAATTAAAAAACACAAAAGGGGGGGGGGCGGCATTTACCTGTAGTACGGGAGTTTTTCTCTTCAATATTAATGGACCCGATCCTGAATGAGAATGTTACATGTTGTTAAACATTGAATGAGTAATTTTTTTTTGTTATACTGTATGAAACTAAGTTTGAGGATTTCGAGTGACTATTTTTTTACTTCAAAACAAAATTAATTATTCATAGCTCCCACAAAAGCTACAAAATAAAAAATGCTTAAAAATATGAGAGCATTGGACATACCTAACTTTCAACTTAAATTATGTAAGGAGTTAACAAAAATGACTTACCTGGTAGGTAGACAGAACGAGTTAATTGCGACAATTCACAACATACTTCATGGCGACTCCTGCCAAATACTGTGCAAGAGAAATTCAAAATAGAGGTCAAGTATACTATAAAAAAAAAATATTGACTTTAGAACTTGAGCAAATGAATTCTTTAAAAGAAGCAAGACATTCAGATTACTAGCACCTACATGCTTGCAGTCCTGCTCCATAAAATTTTTTTAATTATTTGTTAATGTTATGTACACAAGGACCAACATGTAGCACTGCAAAAATATTAGTTCTACTCCTATAATTTAGCAACAATCAGCATCACCTTGTTAAGTTGCTCCCAACTCCACAATCAAATCATTACCACTAAGCTCGAACAATCAGTAACTATTTATAATACAGCACTGTACAGTACACTGTACTGCCTTTGATATTCTCATTATAGTTAACCACAATATTTGGGACTTGTGTTAACTAATCTTGCTATCATTCTCTGTTCTTCATACCCTTTCCTTCCTTAATGTACACACAGCCAGCCAAGCTATGCACTCATCAAAACTTTAATTTATTTACAAATGTATAGAACTTCCCAAACAATAAATAAAGTGTTTGTCAATACAGTAATGTACTCTAAAACATGCAAATAAGTCATTGTAATCGACTCGAGGTAACTTCTCACATTATTAAGTCTGACCATACACTTCTCACCCAACCTAAGCGTTAAGTCCAATAATACAGTAATTCTTTCACCATACGTAATAAAATTGTACAGATCACGATGGCCCAACCATAACTTTCACCTCACCTTGCACATATACTTCACATCCATTCAACTACAGTACACTTAATTTAACTGAGGGTTCTATAAACTATAACAAACAATGAGACCAATTCCAACTGCAGTTAAAATAGAGCGAAGGCTAGCACTTTTATCATGGCATTGAATAAGCAACTTACTAGGGGTAGAAATTCATAGGTACGCCCGGCCGCCAAAAATATCAGAAGAGCGAATAGTTCTTAGAAAATTACTGCAGTAGTTTTTAATCGCCTGCCAGGCATCTAGCATGTCAGACTTGCAGTTTCTAGGAGCTATCCAGTAGTTTTGAACAAAAGCTGATACTTTTGACAGTCTGCTTTACTAAAGCATTGCAAGGGGCAAACATGTGTTGTACACATGGACCTGTGTACTTGGTCGTTGCGCCCTGCTGCTCCCAAGGTCATCTCAGTGCAACTAACACCTCCGTACAGTATTGACATGATGACGAACACAGACATTATTAGTAATCATCATAGTTGCCAAAGGGGATTGTTTGATGTGGAAGAATGTTAATCCACCACCAAGCAGTTTGACTGGCTGTTGTGTAGTACTGCTGCAGAGGCCAAAGCTTTCGCTCATGATGGTATGCAGAGCTATCACCACAAAATGAGTAAGATATCACCTGTTTCAAAACTGTCCTGGCAGCAAATCAAGGAATCATAAGAGAAGTGTGGCTCCTTTCTCCATTCAGTTGACCTTCTTCTGTCCATGCACAATAAACTAGCCCCCTCTAGGGCAATCTAATCTAATTTTCAGTCAGGTCAAGCTCATCAAGACAGACTGGCGCATCGTCTCACCGATGACCACTTGACAGACCTAGTTAGAATGTTTGCAATTTCAATCCAGGGCAAGCCACCAACAAGTTTTTAACAACTGGGGCCCACCGTGTTGATGGGTATAACCACACAGATGACTGCAGCACAGAAGCACTCAATGCCATCGAAGAATTGGATGAGGAGCATATACAAACTTATTGACCAAATGCAGTGAAGAAAATCCCCATTTACCTGTAGTTACATATACAGAACTAATTTTTTGAGGTTCTAATTTTTTTTTGAATTTCAGCAAATAATATAAAGTAAACAAGAAAACAGATTATCCATATAATGTTGTTCGCAATTTAAATATAATTTACCATTTCCTATAAAGTTAAATAAAGTGTCAAAGTAAACAAATTTCTATGTAGGCCTACCCAGTATGTCACTTTTTAAAATTTTAATGAGGTTTTTTGTCTCGTAAAATTTGGGAAGGGCTAGTAACTATTTGGTTCTTTTAGCCCGGCTGGCTGCCTAAAAAAAAGGCGAATTTCTACCCCTGCTTACAATCAAGAGTTGCACTACAAGGGATTAAATTACTTACCAGAAAATGATATACAGATGGAGAATGTGTGAACATGGTGAAAAAGGTATATTTATTGAGATGACATGGCTTGTTATGAGTATGATGATGATCCCATGTAGGGCA